CGCCGCGGGCCCCCGGGGACCGCGCGAGCATCCTCCCGCCGGACGCGCGCCCTCCCTCCCGCACGCCCGGCGCCCGGGCCTCCCGGGGAACCCCCACCTCCATGCCCAGCGCCCCACGTCCCGCCCTTATCTGGGGCAGGGAGGGACAGCATCATTTCTCCAATGTCTGTTCTGTGCCAGGCTCCAGAAAGTGGCGGGAGATGGCGGGGCGGCCACTGACACGCTCCCAGCCTCGGTTTTCTGTTCTTTAAAATGGGTATAATATGATTACCCTCGTAGGAATGTTATGAGACTTAAATGAGGTATTGAATGTAAAGTGCTTAGCACAGACCTGAGAAAAAAAGGCCAGTCACCATAAAAGATAGCTGCTGCTATTACCACTAATTTATTATTATTATTATTACTATCATTATTATTATTATTATTATTACTGAGAGTTTCCCAAGGCATACTGCCTCTTCATCCAAGAGAGGCCAGTCCTTAAGTGGCTCCCTCCCTCCCCGATATGCAGGTCATTGGGAGAGTGAGGGCCTCCCAGACCCCAGTAGGGGCACCTGTCAGCCAGGATCTCCAGGGCTGGGCAGGCAATGGGCGCTTTGGGACCGAGGCTTGTTCCGCCAAGTTCATGATTGCGTCCACCCAGAATGCAACGCAGGTCTACAAATATTTATTGATCACCTACTATGTGCCACATTACTGTGTTGGAGATACTGAATTGAGCAAGACAGACAAAAAGCCTGCCTTCATGAGGCTTGGCAGGTAGACAACAAAATAAATAAGCAGATGCTATCGTGTGTTGGAAGTTTCTGGAGAGAAATGAAGTAGGCAAAGAAGACAGGGAGGGCCCAGAGGGGTGGGGTTTGTATTTTGAAGTAGGGCAGTTGAGGGAGGCCCCACTGAGGAGGTGACATTGGGGCAAAGAGGAAAAGGAGTGGGCTGTGGGGATTTCTGGAGGAAGAGCATTCCAGACAAAGGGAACAGCAAGTGCAAAGGCCCTGAGGTGGAGGTGTGCCCCCTGCCTGTGACAAACAGCTAGGAGGCCAGTGGGGCTGGAGTGGCATGTACAGGGAGGACAGTGGTGGGCCAAGGTCCTGTAAGGCCTTGAAGTCCACTTTAAGGATTTGCATCCTGCCCCCAAAGGCCTCGCAGTATTCAGTCCTCCCTTCAGAAGGACTGAGGACAGCTCAGAGTGTGCCCTATCCCTGCAGTGGTGGATCCAGAGTCCCCTCTTTTCCATTTGTCAGTCTCAGGGGTCTCTGGCCATAGGCCACAGAAGCCAACTTTGTCTAACTTAGGCAAAAGGGCATAAACTGGAAGGATAATGGGCATTCCCCGAGTCCAGGGGAGCCTCGAGAACTCAGAAATGGGATGAAACCAAGGCCTCTCCAGAAGACAGGAGAGACTCTTGGGAATAGTCACTGACAGAGACAGTGTGGTTAGGGCACCACCACTCAGGTGAAAGGAGCTCCATCTGTTTAGGGTTCCCCTTCCAGGGAGGGAGCGTCTGATTGGCCCGGGCTGGGACACATCCCTGCCCCCGCTGGGGGAGGGGAGTCTCCCTCACAATCCTACCACCCCACTATCTCCAGTGAGGGTGTGGTGAGTCCCCCAGGAGCCCTGAGAATGCAAAATGGTTGCTTGGTAGCAAGTCTCCCACCCCTCCGCCCCCCATATATTATAACCATATATTGAGGACCTGCTATGTGCCAGCCACTACATTAAGGACTTCAGGCTTTGCTTGGATGATCTTATTGTCCACGTCCCCCCCCCCCCCAGGATTTTTATTTCATGGAGAAAAAAGCCAAGCCTACAGAGGGTTTTGTCCCAGCTCACACAGCAAATGAGCAGCAGCCAGAATTCTAACCTCAAGGCCCAAGAGATTGATCCAGTGTTGTTTCCCCCCCGACTGCACCCCTAAGTTAACTGGGGTACTTGAGAAAAGCAGGCTGCCTAAGCCTCATTCTGGGGAGCCATTTTTCGAAACCCACGTGTTTCCTTTCCCTGCCAAGCACTAAGCCCGGGAAGTTGACCTGTGCCGGTCCTTCCCTGAAAACCTGGAGTTTTTCTTTCAAGATAAAGGACCTGACGGTGTTCGGCTTAACAGCCACAGGAAGGTGGGCACGGACGGGATCAGGGCTTGCTCAGGTGTCTGAGCTCGGTTCTCTCCGCTGCAGTTGGACCGCTCACCACCAGGGGCGCCATCACCGAAGATCAGCTTGGGAAGAGTTGGACTCTCCCTCGAGGCCTGAGCGCAAAAATGTTCAAGGGTCCCAAAGCCTTCTGCCCCAGGGCCTGAGAATCCCATCTTCTGACCCATGCTGCCCCGGCTACGCCTCATACCCGCGCCGCTGGCCGCCCGTGCGGCCGCCAGAACGAATGAGACAGGCTTCTCCTGCAGTGTCCCTTAGCGCCCTCTACCGAGAAGGCTCCGCATCGTGCTCAGCATAAATGCTTGCGAAGTCCTGCCTCTTACGGAGGAGTCAGAGCTGAAGAAGGAATCTGGACCTGAGAGGCAATACGTTGGTAACTGGCGCAACGCAGGACCTCACAATTCATAGCGTGACAATGATAATAACGGCTGTGATTTATTGAGCACTTAAATGTGTCGTGCACTGTGCTCTGAACTTCCCACGTATTATCTCATTTAATTCACCAAACCACCCCACCATGTAGGTTCCTCCCATTATCTACATTTTATAGTGAAGGCCAGAGACGTTAAATAGCTTAACCAAAGATATGTAGCTAGAACATCAGAGCTGGATTCAAACGAAGGCACTCTTAACCAGCTTACTATGCAGAGAAATTTCTGGTTAGTGCTGTATTGCATGCCCTAAGCAGCAGATGCGTTTCATTGCTGTGATGGTTAATTTTATGCATCAGCTTGACTGGGCCACAGGGTGCCCAAATATTTGGTGACATATTATTCTGGGTGTGTCTGTGAGGATGTTTCTGGATGAGATTAACATTTGAGTAAACCAGATTGTCCTCCCTAATGTGGGTGGGCCTCGTCTAATCAATTGATGATCTCAATAGAACAAAGAAGCCTGAGTAAGAGGGAACACTTCCAGCCTGAATGATCGAGCTGGAGCGTTGGTCTTTTCCCGCCTTCAGACCCCAACTGAAATCTCAGCTTTCTTAGGTCTCAGGGGTTCAGACGTGGACTAGAACTACACCATGAGCTCTCTTGGGTCTCCAGCTTGCTAACTGCAGCTCTGGGGACTTCTCAGCCTCCAGAATTGCATGAGCCAATTCATTACAATAAATCTCTTTATATATCTATCTATATCTTTATATATGGGTACATATATAGGATATATATATATATCCTGACGGTTCTGTTTCTCTAGAGAACCCTGACTAATACAGTTGCCACCTCAGCATCCATCTCCCTCCCCCTCTTCCTAATGAAACTGAACTTGTCCAGGCATCCACCGTCCTCTCTTGGCCACAAGCCTTGGGAGAGGTGCCCCCTTCCCCTCCTGGGTAGGTCATGACTGGTCTAAGTCAATCACGGCGCTCCCGTTCCCTTTGTCAGTGATTGGTTTAGACGTGAACGTGTGACCCAGCTCTGGGTCACATGAGACAGGAGGAGAAGTCTGCAGGATGCCTTCTGGGCCAGATCGCCGTGCCCTTTAGGAGGGAGAGACCCACAGAACACACAGCCCCCTTCTGGGCATTAGCGCTTTAGTGCTGCCGTCACCTGATGGCCTGAGGGCACGGCCAACGCAGGGAGGTGGGCAGAGCCAGGAGCATGACATGGAACTGGAGCCGGAGCTCCCCACCTCTGGATTTCTTGCTATTTTGGAAAATACACTGCCACACTGTGAAGTCACCGGCTTAAGAGTTTTCTCTTACTTGTGGTTGAAATCATCTTGTTGATACAATTGTTCTATGTCACGTGTTCATCTGTTTGCATGAACATGAATAGAAAAAAAATTTAACCTGCTTTTTCACTTAAAAAAATGAACATCTCTCTAGGTCAATAAATACAGATCTAGATCATTAATTTTCACATCTACAAAAGGGTTTCACAAGTATGGAAGCTTCGTAACTTATACTGCCTTCTGTTATTGAATATTTGGATGGATTCAATTTTTGCTCTCGTGAACAATTTGGTAATTGGAGAGCACCCTTAATTATTTCCTCGGGACATAATCTCAAAGGTGGGAAGCAGGTTTAAATTTGTAACAGGTAGGGTTTAGAGTAAATAGTGATGCAGCAAAGCGTTAGATTGGTTAGTTGGGGGCCCAGCTACCGTGAAGGAAGGGCAGACCCCTCATCTCTAAACTAGACACCACTGCCCACTGGCATCCACGGACATTCCTTGGGGAGGATGGAGGAATGTGGGTGGTGAGGGCATGAAGGAGGGGAGGGATAAAGAGGAGATGGTTTGGCGGCTGCTTCCTGGAGGACTCTGGGCTGGATTTGTGTCCCAGGAGGTAAAAATAGGTCAGAAGTTGAGAAAACTCTTAGTTAATGTCCCCCTGTCCTAAACAGAGCGGCTGCTGGACACTGGCAGTGGGACGTGGCCCAGAGAGGGGAAGGAAGCCCTTCTTACCCGCATCAGGTAGGAATGCTTGGGCTCAAATACAGAGACCGAGCTTGAAGGTAGGGCATTGTTGTCACAAATTAATAAGGAATATGGAGATTGCTGGCATTGGAAGGGCTTTATGACTTTTGTGAGCCTTGGACTCTTTTGCCTTCAGTG